TTTACTTTTCCTTTCTAGCTTTTGTCTGGCCCTCTGAGCCCCAGCGAGAGTTTCCTGAGGTACCTCACCCTTCCACAAGACAACGAGCTTGCCATTGATCTGCGACAGACCGTGGTGGTCGTCATGGGCCATTTAGACCGTGTGACTACGCCCTGTTTGCCTCCGCTGTGTAGCGCTCCGACGTCTCATAAGGTGTGTGCAAGAACCATGTTCTGCATGTGTTTTGTGGCTAGTACCACGTCTAGGTTCTCATCCTGGGCCCGTGTGGAGACTTGCGTTGTCTGGTGTTGATGGGGGAAGCTGGCTTGTGGTTTTAAACGTGTTTGCAGTTGAAGGTGTTCCCCGTGTGGAGAGTGAGTGATGAGCCAGCTGAGGTGCACAGGCCTAGGGACCCAACCTGGGGGCCCAGGTTCCAGGTTCAGGTAGCACAGCCCCAGAGAGCTCCCCGTTAGCCACAGTCCCAGGCCCTCCCACCTTCTGCAGGGGGTTCCACAGCCTTTATACTCTGAAGGCAGGCTGTCTTAGTATGTAATGCTGGTTATAGTAGTGACAGTATAGTTCTATATTCTATCTGTCATGTAATAGTAATGGTAATAGTAGTGATTTGCGTGTGTGGAGCACCTGTAGGGTGCAGGCCCGCTGAGGACCTCATGCATGCTGTTGTATCTCATTATGTCAATGAGAAAACTGCCTTTGGGAATGGTGGTGAACTTTGCCAGGGTATAACAGTAATCTTAGTTTTGAATCGATTTTTCTAACATTTTGTGTCTAATATGAAGAGTATTTATTTTGTTTTACAGTCATTGAAAAAAAGGCCCCGCGCGGTGGCTCACGCCTGTAATCCCAGCACTTTGGGAGGCTGAGGTGGACGGATCACAAGGTCAGGAGATCGAGACCACCCTGGTGAACACGGTGAAACCCTATTTCTATGAAAAATACAAAAAATTAGCCGGGAGTGGTGGCGGGCGCCTATAGTCCCAGCTACTCGGGAGGCTGAGGCAGGAGAATGATGTGAACCCGGAAGGCGGAGGTTGCAGTGAGCCGAGATCCCGCCATTGCACTCCAGCCTGGGCGACAGAGCCAGACTTTGTCTCAAAAAAAAAAAAAAAAAGGAATACAGTCACATGGTTCAAAAATCAAACCTAGGCAGAGACACACTTTTGCTTTCCCTGCCCACCCCTTCTACCCAGTTTCCCACCTGCTCCCTCGACTTTTCAGTCTCCTCTGTAACCTCCGTGTTCTCTGGAATGAGTACCTAGTGGTAGCAGGTTGCATTACTTGTGGTGTGTGTTTTTTACTAACCATATGTATTGGAGTACTTTATCAGAGTGTGGCTCTTTGTTTTTATAAAGCAACTTAGTATTCAGTGTGTGGATGTGTGTTTTAGGTATCTTTGTTTAGTGAGTCTCTTATTGGTGGACACTTGGGCTTATTGCCACAATGTTGCTATACAAATAGTGCTGAGGGCCTGGTGTGGTGACTCACGCCTATAATCCCAGCACATTGGGAGGCCGAGGTGGTTGGATCACCTGAGGTTGGGAGTTTTAGAACAGCCTGGCCAACTTGGAGAAACCCCATCTCTACTAAAAACTACAACAAGCGATTAGCGCGCTGTGAGCACGAATGCTGTCCATACCAGCTACTCCCAGAGAGGCTGAGGCAGGAGAATCACTTGAAAACCCCGGGAGGACGGAGGGCGGGTTGTAGTGAGCGAGATAGAGAAGCACTGACTCGACTGACCAGAGATGAAACATCCTTCATCAAACACACAATAACAACAACAATAACACACAAATATGCTGCAGGCTGCCTTGAGCACGATGTAAAGACATCACAAGATGCACACGTGTGGCACAGTGAACCATGACGCAAGGAGATGGGGATGCACAACATAGTTGTGGCATGTTGTCACCAAGGAACTGACTCTGTGCCAGCTTGATTCTACTCACACAGACACGGAATGCGGTCCATCAACCAGCCGATCGCGATGTGGAACTTATATGGGATTTTGCCTCCTAAAGCACAAAATGGTGACCCTGATGTAGTTTGAGCATTTTAAAGTATATTAGTATTTAAGGGTCCTTGATACTACTTTTTAATGGGCTGTGTTAAAATGAAACACAATGGAAATGGAAAACTAACCTGTTCAGTCGCTTCATCATACCTGTTAAATGAGGTAATACGGTGTGGTACCAGCTATTTTGATGTTTTGAATCAGCCTATTTTCTCTTTATTTGCTTTGTTTTTAGCTTATAATATCTCAGTGTTACTCCCAGCTTTTTATTTTTCTTTTGCTGTTGTAAAAGAAAACATTTACTTTCTTATCTTACAGGGATCATTGCAAGAGGTCATAGGTTGGGGGTTAATAGGATGGAAATACTATGCCAATGTGATTGGTCCGATCCAGTGCGAAGGCCTGGCCAACCTGGGAGTCACACACATTGCCTGTGCAGAGAAGCGCTTCGTGATTCTGTCACGCAATGGCCATGTGTACACACAGGCCTACAATAGTGACACACTGGTGAGTGTTCTGGGCACTGTGCCTGCAGTGTTCCCTTGGGGGGCAGGGTCTGTACTGCAGATGCACAAGCTCTGGTCTTTCTTGAAGCCATTTGATTTGTGAAGATTGATAAGCTTCTGTTTATTGTATATTATGTTTAATGGTCTCAGCTGTAATATTGTCAAGATTTGGGTTGTGAAGGTTAGGAAGTCCTTACAGTGCAACTCGTTGCTAATCATGAGATTCCCGTTTGTAAACTCATTTTCCATGTGTAAACTCATTTGACTTTATGGCCAGGCAGGTGACAGATGAGGGAGTTGGGCCTCATGGGGATAGTGACAAATTGGGACGTGGCATGTTTTCATTAAAGCGGGGTGTTCCTCCCTGTCGGCTGCACGTCTCTGTCGCAAGGGGTTAGCCTGCCCTGCCCCCGCATCGGCTCTGGTCTTGCCACAGAGCACTTGGAGGCTGCCCGCTGTTCTGTTGGTGCTGGGTGGGAAGGGCTGGAGAGCCGGCCCCGTGGCCCGCAGAGACTTACGCCCCACTTCCAGTTACAGCAGGCTTTGCTCGGGGATACAGGATAAAGGAGAGCTGTGCTGATTTCATTTTCCTTGGACTGATGACGACTTTTCTTCCTATTTTTCTTTTTTTAGGCCCCACAGCTGGTCCAAGGCCTTGCCTCCAGAAACACTGTAAAAATTGCTGCCCATTCTGATGGTCATCACTGCGTAACCTTGGCTGCCGCTGGAGAGGTGTATCCTGGGCTTTGGGGACAGAGGACGGCTGGGCCATGGGAACACTGTGTATGTATCGCTCATTCCTGCAGGGGACACACTCCTCTTTTATGTTGCCATTTCCTGGAGAGGCTGGAGCGCAGGAGTGTGTGCAGGTGTTTTCCGGCCGCCCCGACGTGCAGCGCTGGGGTGGAGCGGGACACTGTGATATGCCCCCTCCTTGGTGATGGCTGAGGAACTCTCTGCCCATGTGTGGAGGGCAACAGGAATCGGCCTTTCTGCTCTTCTCCACCCCGTGCAGCCTTGGCCGCCTTCTCTCTACTCAAACCGCATCCCCACTGTGGAGTTTGCCAGAACAAATCCCACAGCTCTGTTCCTTCCTTCACAAACAGTTCCCCCTGTCTCCCATAGATAAGGTTGTCACCCTTCCCTTGAACCATTAGGTTATTTTTACAGGAACAAAAGTCAGCAGTTTCTTCGTAATATCATCCTATTCGGTGGAACCTTTTATTGTGAAAGAACAGAAATAAAGTTGTTATAAATGCCAGGTTGTAAAAATTGGGAGGTCTGCCAGCCCCATGAGTGATGGGAACCCTCTTGTACTTTGCTGTTGTGTGTGGAACTCTGGCATTGTTTAAATGAAGGATGTATGTACACACCAACCCAGCAAGCCCATTTCAAGCGGGCCGGAGCCCTGAGCAGGGAGCGGACAGTGCAGAACTTGAAATGAGCGTAGTCATGACTGCCCTTGTGTCCCTTGAGAGGAGCCCGGAGGGCATGGGCCATGCACACCACAGGGTGGAGGTGAGGGCATCATTGCTGACAGCATCCGCTGAGAATATCCCAAACTGGGAGAAAAGCAGAGTGATGTGTATCGTGTGGTACATGTATGCCAAGCTCAGCACAGCCCAACCCTGACAGTGTTGTAAGGGATTCAGACAAATGTGAAATGAGTGAAAAACAAAAGATCGATCTCCATGGCATTTATAGCTGTTACTCTCACACTGGATCCCAAGGGCTGGGATTGGCATGGGGTACACAGGACTTGAAAGACGTTGAGGTACAGGACAGGGTGGTGTGTCTGCTTATTTCCTTTAGGTATTACTGACTTTGTATAAAATATTTCATAGTAAAGCAATTCTCAGTGCGAGTAAGTGCTGGGATGAGTAACTTATCCCTTATTCTAGGACTTCAAGGAAGGAAGAGAGATCAGTGCAGATGGCAGAAGCTGGAGATAACCTTTTGGGGAAGTTGAAACTTCAGCTGAATAAGGGAGAGGTTGTACTTGGGTAGAGTCATTGGACTGTCGCTGTGTGCGCCTGTGCCACTGTGTGTATTTTGCAAACTAGTAGGTCACAAAGTGAGTAAACCATGCCTTTGGAGAGGCCTGGCTTCTATAGATTCTCAAGAAAATGTCATCCATCGTAGGAACGTATTCTGGATCCTAAGAATAGGATATTTTGTTAACTTTGCCATTTCTTCAACTAGTAAGACTTCTCTACCCTAATCCCCACTGCCTCATAGTTTTCATTTGTAAAATACAGACTGCAGAGTGCTGGCTTCATTCCATCCACATTCATTTAACAAATACCTATAAATGTCAGTCAGCTTTGAGGCTTACGTACAACCAGACGACTGAGTTTCGGGTGTAGAGTTGGATGGGTTTTGGCCAGTGCCCTCAGCTGGGGAGTCACCACCATCAAGACATGGGGCGTGTCCATCGCTTCCAGAGCCCTGTTTGTACCCTTTGAGTTGATCCCCACTTCCTCCCTCCAGTTCCTGACACCCTCCGATCTGCCCCCTGTTGTTACTGTTTTGTCTTTTCCATAATTGAAGGTAAACAAAGCCATACCGCGTGTGCTGTTTTGTTTCTGGCGTCTTTCACGTAGCATGATGTCCTGAGATCCAGCCGCGTTGCTGGGTGTGTGGGTAATTCCTTCCTTCTGTTGCAGATGGACCGTGGTTTTGGGCCATTGTGAAGGAAGCTGCAATGGACTTTCTTGTACAAGTCTCTTTTTTTGAGATGGCGTTTTGCTCTTGTCACCCAAGTTGGAGTGCAATGGCGTGATCTCAGCTCACTGCAACCTCCGCCTCCCGGGTTCAAGCGATTCTCCTGCCTCAGCCTTCCAGTTAGCTCGGATTACAGGGACCTGCCACCATTCCCAGCTAATTTTGTATTTTTAGTAGAGATGAGGTTTCACCACGTTAGCCAGGCTGGTCTCAAACTCCTGACCTCAGGTGATCTGCCCACCACAGCCTCCCAAAGTGCTGGGATTACAGGTGTGAGCCACCATGCCCGGCCTATTGTACAAGTCTTTCACACTGTTTTTGTAATTCTACTGGATACCATGCTTGGCGTCGGGTTCCAACTTAACAAAAAGTCATGGAGGTGTTAGGTGTTCAAATTCTCTCTTCCTTATTTTATAAGGTACCTGGAAGGTGAAACTGGCCTGATGCTCTCATGGTCTCCATTTGGATAGTGAATTTCCTTTGCTAACACTAATAAGAAATAACACCAAGAAGAAGGGCATTCATGTTTATTCTCTTCCTCCCCAAGTTCTCTGGAGGAGCCTAAGGTGATCTCCGCCTTCTCTGGAAAGCAGACCGGGAAGCACGGGCTGCATATCTCTTGCGGGAGAACTTACAGCGTAGCCATCACTGCCGAGGGGGAGCTGTACACCGGGGGCCACGGGAACTACGGCCAGCTGGGCCACGGTACGTCTGCCTTGCATGAGTGGGAGCATGCAGCAGGAGGTGGCCTCTCACAGGACTTAGGAACAGCCATCCTATCTGTTTGAAGGCTCCAGTGAGGATGAGGCCATTCCAATGCTGGTAGCTGGGCTTAAAGGACTGAAGGTCATCGATGTGGCGTGTGGGAGTGGGGACGCTCAAACCCTGGCTGTCACTGAGAACGGTACATGGAGCTCTCGCCACCCAGGACAGAGCCTCGAGGACAGGCATGGCAGCTTCCCTGGAGGAAGTGAGATGAGTACAGTGGGCCTCACGAGGCCGCCCACCCTGTCGTCCAGTGGGTGTGGGATCAGTAGCATTGGTGAAGAGGCCGCGGTGGTTATATATGTATATATATATTTATATTATTTTTCACTATGCTTGCTTTGAGTTCATTTTTCTGTTGTTTATCTAAGTAGTTGAGGTGAGAGCTTATTGATTTGACAGGGCTTGTTTGCCTGGGGCCTGTCAGCAGGTTAGCAGCTGCCGCCATTCCTGTGTGGACATTTTATTTTTTTAAGCATGAGAGTTGGAATGGAATGATTGACACTCTGAATTGGCTCCGGTTAGTATTATTACATTTCTTAACGTTTGGCCACTCTTGATTCCGTGTGGTAATCCCTGCTAAGTCTTTCCGTGTTCTATAGTCTGACGCTGCAGTATCTGCTTGCTTTGAATTTTCCTTTGTGTTTGTGTTCCAAACTGAGATCATCCTCATCTTTTTTCAGGGGTACATGATGAGGTTTGAAGGTTAAAGTGACGTTAATTGTTTAGAAACGACTCGTCTGTCAGTATTGTGGGGGTCTGTCCTTGGCATCCTGTGTGTCTCTGGCATTGTGGAGTCTTTCTGTGAAATCGGCTGGGACCTTCAGCTTGCTTTCTCTCCTGCAGAAGTTGAATGGCAGATTGATAATTGAGTGACTTTTGGGCATTTCTTAGGTCAAAGATGAAAAATCATCAGATACTTCTCTATATGCATAGGTCCCGCTGCCGTTGCCGGGACAGACATTGTCAGAGCCATCCTGTTTCTGCTACTGTGAGTCCTAGAGCAAAGGTGGTCTCCTCTGAAAGGCTCCTGCTTTCAAGGAGCGTTCAATTTGACATCTCGTCATTTTAAAATATCTGTTTTATCGATATCAAGTGAGTGGTAGACCCTAAAATATTTCCTGATTAAAAGTTTTGTGAGGTCGGAGCTGTGTTAGGATTCTAGCCTTGCGTTCTTTAGTGTAGTTGCTACTTTAGGTGAAGTTTATGATGATACGTTGAGTAAACTGCCTTGAACAGGCTGCAGACAATGTCTTCCTCACACTAGTGTTTCTTTGGTGCAGATCTTGTAGGGAAGTGTCCCTGCTGTGCCGTTATTTTCTGAGGCGACAGTTACGGTAGAAGTATCCTACCCTGCAGTCTGGCCTTGGGGGACAGTGGGAAATAACCTGGCGGGCTACGTGAACAGCATAATTTTCAGCACAGCATGTGAAAGTGCACCTCTGATCTCTGTGTGCAGGTCTGCTGTGCTGCTTTCATTGACCACGTCATAGTGTGTCATCTCCAGTTTCTGGTTCGCTCGGGGTCGGCCTGCTTTTGTAGGTGGAGTTGTATTGGTGTGCAGGTTTGCCCACTCATTCACATATTGTCTGTGGCTGCTTTCCTGTGACAGTGGCACAGCTGGGTCGTTGGGACAGAAAGCCCACAGAGGCTAAAAATATTTACCATCTGATCGTTGAGGGAAATAGTTGCCTATCTTTAGTTACTACAAAATAGAACGTGGGAACTTGTGGAGCAATCTGATATCTTCTCTGATTTCTTTTTCCTGATCTTTTACAGTTTTCACCTTTATGTAATTTCACTTTTTTTTTTGGAAGACAGAGTTTCACTCAGTGCAGTGGTGCATTCTCGGCTCACTGCAATCTCCACCTCTTGGGGTCAAGCAGTTCTCATGCCTCAGCTGGATTATGGATGTTCACCACCACACCTGGCTAATTTCTCTATTTTTAGTACAGACAGGGTTTCGTCATGTTGCCCAGGCTGGTGTCAAACTCCCAGGCTCCAGTGATCTGCCGGCCTCAGCCTCCCAGAGTGCTGGGATTACAGGCGTGAGCCACCGTGCCCAGCCTAACAATTTTGTTTTTTAGCAATTCACTTTCATTAAG